GTTATAATTTTCATCAGTTCATAACATGCTAATGTTGTGGAACAGTTTCTTCGAAAACCGAATTGTTCTGGTTTTAGAATGTTAAAGGCGCTAAGAAAACAATATAGTTTTTCATGCATTATTTTTTCGAAAACTTTTGAGAGCACAGGAATAAGAGTTATTGGTCGGTAGTTTCCAACGTCTTGCCTATCTCCCTTTTTGTACATAGGTTTAACAATGGAGAATTTCATACGCGTTGGAAATACACCCTGTTTTAGAGACAGATTTATAATATAACATAATGGTTCTGAGATGTATTCAGCGCATTGTTTTAAAACTTTTACATTTAGTTCGTCATAACCTGTTGAGTTTGTATTATTTAAAGATTTAAGTGTTTTATAGATGTCCCTAGGATGAGTTGGCATGAGATACATACTATTGTTATTGAACAAAATATTTTTATAATTTAAATATTGATGTGTATTATGTTTATTTGTAAGGTTAATAAAGTACTTATTGAAAGTTTCAGCAATTTCCTCTGGTTTCATTCGCAGGTTGTTATTATCTCTAATTTTTTCAATATGACCAACATCTTTCTTGTTAGTGGCTTTGATTTTAAAGTTAAATATTTAATAACGGAATAAGATTTTTGAATAAAAAATATAAGTTAAATATTTTTACTGGCCAGGAATAAGTAACAACGTCATTGATTTTGTAAAGAAATGTAAACAATGTCAAATTCACAAACATACCAGACAGGTACATAAAAGAGCCTATGGTCATAACAAATATAGCCAATTCGGTTTTTAAAAATGTTAGTTTCGGTATTATGGGCCCTCTAGATATAGGTGATTGTATTTTTAAATATGTATTAATTATTCATTGTAATTTAAGTAAATTCGTAGAAGCTTATCCTCTGCAAACTAAAGATAAAGTAACCGTGTCTCAAAATTTCATAAATAACTTTCTTTTGCGATATGTCATTCCACGTGAAATTTTAACAGATCGGGGTATGGCATTCCAAGTGAGATTTTAACAGATCAGGGAACAGAATTTTTAACCACAGTCTTACCGGAAGTATGTAGTTAATTAAAAATTAATAAGTTGCATACGACAGCTTATCACCATCAAACAATCGGTTCTCTTGAAAATACTCACAAATATTCTTCGTGCATCATCATCTTCTTGAATCATGATCAAATTCTGTCCAATTCGCTGTAAATATCAGATAAATATCGTCGTTAGGCTGGATAACCTATAAATATCAACTCCACTAAAAATAAAATATCAAACCATCAGACTGAATGTGCCTCACATCACAATACTGGGCCCACCAAAGTGGTTAGTTTGTCTAATACAAGGATCTATCCACGTATCAATATGGACACGTACCCGCCTCTCGTCACTGAAAAACTTAACTTTACACTCATCTGTAAAGGCTACTGTCTTTCAGTTGTTCATCCAGTTGGTCCATTAGAGATGTTCACGTACAAACTATAGACACGTGGCATGACGTGTTTTGTTAAATTCCAATCGGGCAGCACGTATTTTATAGGGTTGTTGGTCTTCATGAATCATGAGAGTAAGGGATAAGGGGGGGCACGTGTGTTTGAGCACACACTTTTGCATCATAATCTTTGTCTGAAATACATTATATATCAATTGGGAAGAAATATTATTTAGTGGAAGGCAGCTTCGTACCTGTAACCGGAGTGTTTAATGGCCCTACATTCGGAGGAAGCCGATGGATGCAAGTAGTTAATAGGTTCAACAGTAGACTTGTAAGGGACTGTAGTGATAATGATGATGATGAGACATGATGGCAATAAAACTTATCTAGCTGATGTTAATACCATTTTTCAGTTCGCTTACTATTATAAAATGCATTTTAATCTAAATTTATAGTAAAGCAAATAAAACTTTTTCTAATATGTATGTATAAAATTTGTAACTATGGACAATAAGTGGAATAAAAGTTTGCGGGAAAGGAAAGAGTCTTAATCTATATTCTTGTGATTGTGAATTTATTGTTTGAAAAGAATTGCTTTGACTACTGGGAAATAAGAACTCTAAGTATGTCAACATTGTATGCTTTGAAGGTTTATGAGATTTAGAAATGCATTTAAATATTTTTAACGTAAAGTTATTTGCTAATATTTTAATAGGCCAAATTAGGATTCAAGACACTATATCGTTACTTATTAACTCTATTTTTTAAGTTTTCTATTATTGTTTTTTAAATAAATATTCTTTACGAAATACAATATTGGATATTAAAATGTAATAAAAATATATCTGGAAGTTAATAATAAAAATATTAATAATATAGTTATAGACTGTTAGAGACCATTAGACGTCAGAGGTTGACATTTGGGTAAATGTTTGCATCATCAATAAACTCTCAGTAGTTGCCCGGAGTGAGGAAGTTGACGGTGTCTCACCTTCGTGCCTCGGAAAGCATGTAAAGCCGTTGGTCCTGCGTCTGATCTCTCTCCGGTCATGTCGGTTTACCGTCCCATCGAATTATGAGAGTGAGGGAATAGAGAGTGTACCTGTGCTTGCGCATACACTTGGGCACTATAATCCTGTCCTGCGCCGATGGCTAGGCCGCCTCCTATATTATTCCCTCATAAGAATAATATAGATTTATAAAAAATTGTGGTCACTTTTTCACATTTTCTTACCATTTTGCTTCAGCCCATAAAAGTCCATTGCACGCATGAAGGATGGACGATTCCAGTATTATACGTCTTTATATGTCGCTGGGTATTTTTCGTCTGACTAAAATGAGGTTAAGAGAAAGTTCATCCGTCCATACGTTACAGCCTATAAAAGTCCGCTGCTAAACATAGGCCTCTAACTTCAGACAATGAAGGAAAATACCAAGTACTGATGAGATAAGTACGGAAAAAATAAAAAATAATGAGGTTTTGTTTGGTACTAGTGTCGTCGTATGGTTTGCTTTGTGTACCTACTAGTGTATGGAAAATATCTCGCCTGAAGATTTCATATAGTTTTATGACTTTAAATGTGATCATAAACGCACTTCTTTGTATATAATACTACATAACTTTTTTGCAAAGCATTAAACGCAGTTTATTTATTTTTTGTTAATCTATACGTGGTAGAGCCATGCTGCAGTTATATAAGAAGTATAGTTGTAGCGCGAATGAGTCAGCTCGATCGGGGAAGGACCACGCTCTCACAGAATGCCAGCTTAAAATAGTAGCTTAATGCTGCTGTGTTTCGTATGTTGAGTGTAGAGAACCGGATATCCTTTTTACTGGAAACCAGGCATTCCATCTTAGCCCTAACGGATGATACTCGTAACGCATCTGCATTGTGACTCGAAATCGAGGATAGATGTTGATGTGCGTGGGCCACACCAACTACTTACTATCAGGTCGACTGTGTGCTCGTTTGTCACCAAATTCAAAAAAAATCTGCACAAAAAACGAACATTGAAGGAAAAAATACATTGAAAAATGTTTGTTTATTAGTTTTCTTATCTCAGTTAATGGTGGAGCGACGAGCCTAAGGCTACCGAAGTCCAATTCCCCGGTCGAGCCTTAAACCTATTATACGCGAGATATTAACCAAAGTGGACTGTATATGCGAAATGCTTCTACGTTTACATAAAATGGCGACTATAGCACGCGGTTTCCCATACAATGCACTCGCTCTTCCCTAAAACGAACTATTATTTGCCTAATCTATGAAAGGAATCCTGCTTGATTAGGAGAAAATAAATTGGAGCGGACACAATTATATCAAGCAGTAACTAGTAAGGAATGCTCACTCACCGGGGTGTTGCTTCTATGCTGCGACTTCTGGAAGATACTCTGGGTAGACTCTCTGGAGAGAGGCGGTGCGCGACTATATCTCACACGAGGTGAGGCGGGTTTCCTGGAGATCGACTGCTTCAGGCTAAGCGGTTATACTAGCGGTGCGCGTGGGCAAGAGCTCTTTAGGACACTATTATCCTAGGCGGTGTGGTTCCAACGACGAGTGCGGCTGGAAGAGGGCGCGCGTCGGCCGCGCGTGCCTTTTTATTCCTTCGGTTGCGATGATTGCGTAATATTCTAGAATCATCTTCTTCCCACCCCACCACCCCGATGTGTCGATAGGAGGGTATGAATGATATCGTTTGGAAAGGGATAAACGATTTGGCAAGCCTACCGTCAAATAAATAAATATGAATGGTTTTCCGCGCAACCAGTTAAAGTTTTTATTTGATTTTATGACTTTAAATGTTATCATTTACGCTCTCGATAATCGAAATAATTATAAAAGTTAATATTTTGTTGTTTTATTGAGTGTAAGATCGAGCAAAGCGAACTCGGGACTCGGAAAGTTTAGGTTAGAAGTAGATGGTGGGGTCTCTTCTGAATGACGGTCATAAATGATGTTGAGAGGTTTTGCCTGATGTCCTGGTGCGATATGAAGACAATATTCTTCGTTCCACATCGTGGTATGTTGCCTTGAAGGGAGAATCTCAGATTCAGTGTATTTTCAGTGCAGATATTTTCTATACGGTTAGACGGATCATCCTGTATGTCGTCGAGTAATGGCGCAGTAGGATTCAGTCTCGACAAATTCACGTTATTTTCGTACAAACAATATAATGGAGACTTTGATGTACATCTAGCCACTATTTGATTATATTTTTGGACATGTATCCGTTGATCTAAAAATATTTGTGAGCAAGGTTTCGTTTGATATTGACGTCAATGACGTCGTCTTCATTTAATTGGCGAGGTAAACATTTTACCATCTGTTTTACGTCTACAGGTACGTTGATCACTTCTCCTTTGATTCCATAAGAGAAATCGTGGCACAGACGACGCACTTGCATAAATGGCAGCCGTGGCGATATTAATCGTTCACTGATGGGATCCAACGGTGGTAGGCTCGGTGGTTGGTCAGAATATGAGAATCCATCAAGCTTTGCCAAGAGTGTCGATGCCACATTTGTGTTCAGTGAACGTTTGCATGTGTTGCAAACCAGTTCATATTCTTCTCTACAAAGTTGTCGATTTTCTTTGATGAACCAATCCGATGTCACCTTCAGCTGTGCCGCAGGGTTTGAGGTTGTTCTTGAACCACAGTCTGTCGCAAACCGAGCAAGTGTAGCCAAAGTTGTTGTCCAGAAAAATTGATGTAAATCTCATGATCGAGGATTTCCATTTAGTGTTCCAGGTAGATTGTGCCTGCTGTACTTCAATTTGATCTGAAGAGGTACCTGGTTGTACAGTGGTTTGTGCTGGTTCTGCTGCTAACGATTGAGGTTGTTGGTTTGTGAGCTGTTGTTGAGTACCATTTTGGGCATCGTTTGACCTTTCTGCTGAACGAAAAGAGGATGAAGTAGTCGATTCTAATGAACCACTGGTAAGAGCCAAGTTAGCAGCTTTGCGGAGCCTGTAGTTGCGTTTTCTTTCAGTATCTGATTTCCTTGCAGCCATCGACTGTGCAGGAGTTCTGGATGCTGCAATGCGCTGTCTATACTCACGTTGTCACTGTGCACTTGGTTTTGGAGCAGCAATTATTGGTGGCTCAGCGAATAGCGTTGCAGACGTTGATGCGACAGCATCTTGCGTCTCAACGGGTGCATTACTCATCGAAGGTAGGTGAAGATCCGTGAGATCCATAGGCTTGTCAGGTTGATCAGCTATTGGGTAATTGTAGGCAGTTCTGCAAGAAAAACATTGATAATTTGTTGTTGAAAATTTAAAAAAATATTTTAAATAAAGACAATGTACTTCTTAAGACATTCTTAATCTAAATTCAACAACTTGTGATCAATTTTAAAAACTGGCGTTTAGCTAGATGAAACTATCAATTAATTAATTTAATGCATGATTTATATATTTTGAAAAATTACTTGTTTAAACAAATTAATTGAATGAAAGTGATTGTTTAATTGGAATGGTCAATTGATTGCATAAAATAGTATATTCCCTTGCGCGTCGGTTAGGCAGTTCAACTTGATATTAAAATTTCTAAATATTTTTTAAAATCATGTTTGCTAAATCTCAATTCCAATTTTTGTAGTTCTTGAACGTTTGATTTGAATAATTTGTTTAAATATACTTATGAATAAGTTTTTATAGAAATAAACTGTAAACAAATTAATGTTAATAAATATTTAATTCTAAATGATGCAATTGAAAATTTTAATTAAATTTTTAAACTTGCTTAATTTATTTAATATAATAGCAGATTTCTTCGCATGGTTGGCCGAATCGACTTATTGTTTGGCCACATTGTTATGACATGTGTGAGGTTAAAATTTAATTTTTAATCTTACATTAATAACTATGCAAAATCATATTTTAAATTTAATTATAAAAAAGAGAAAACTTTTCATCAATTTTTTATCCATCATCAGTTATATGAACATTGAAGTAATATGTACTTACGTACTAGAACAGCTATTCCAAACAAAACATGTGTACTACTCTGTGTTCGCGCGGTTGTTTTTTTTATCATTGAATAAACATAAGTAGAATGATCAGTAGGTATATTAGATAGATTGTATTGTTAAATAGGTAAATTATATCAAAAACAATTTTTAAATTTTGTCATTCATTTTGTATATTATATTCACTTATTTAATATAATATTATATAATATTATATCACAATTAAATTTTAATGATATTTTTATCTGAATATTTTAAAAGGTATCTATGTCAAATATAAAAAAACATACTAAATGTATGTTTAACAAAACTTATTAATATAAAATTTAAATTACAAATATATTTATTTAAATTAGAATAAGAGTCGTTCATAAATGCTGGGCACGCGAGAGTTAAAAATGGACGAATTTATTCCACTTTGACTTTGATATGGAAACCTAAAATAAATATAAAAGTATAATGAGTAGATTTAATGTAAAAAGTCGGCCTAATTATGATAACTCATATATGTTTCTACAAAAAAATGTGTATAATAATATATTCGTCCTGTACTTAAGTACCCACAGAAATGTCGCATCTGAACCAATTAATTTCATAATCTATATTACATGACACAAGATGGTGTCTTAGGAATAATTTATTTTATTATTAATTTATAATACTTTTTTATTGATTAAGCATCTTATTAAACGATGAAAAGTAATACCTTGGTTTTTACTGACATTTCTTGAATTATTTGTGCAATATCTAAGTACACACGGTGGCATATTTTTATCAAGAGATTTTTTTTAAATCAACACAACACGTGACAACTCTACAAGCGTCTAGCGAGTGACTGATTGAAGTGCGGTGTATGCACCGCAGTTGAGTAGAACAGAGTAGCTGAATGCAGTGTCGCCTCTATTACGTAGTATAAAATAGCTCAATGTATATGAATCACCATAATTATTTGTCAATTGTAACATAACTTAAGTTTAATAATAAAAGAATAAACACTTTAAATTATACTAGTGATCAGATTTTAAAAATGCAAGAATAATTTACCTATATTGACACAATTGTTGTTGTAATAAACAATGAAAACCGTTTTAACTTTTGACTTCACTTTATAAAGAGCCGATGAAACAGTTCACGTGTAGATGTAGGTTGTGTGCTGCCGCTGTCTTTCTTCTCCTCGGACGCATAGGCCAATCGAGTGAGAGAGAGATAGATGCGGCGCAAACCGATCGTCCCTTTCGCTCGTTCGTGCTGCGCTCTCGCTCCGATCGTGCTTGGCTCGGCTGGAGCGTAACGGGACAATGAGTCATCTTTTTCGTGCATGCAGGCATGCAGCCGGTGTTCAACGATTTATTAGACGTTGGCACTTCAAAAGTTCGGCGTGAGTGTTTATGTATATATATATATATATATATATATATATATATATATATATATATATATATATATATATATATATATATATAACATCATCATCATCATCATTACAGCCCTTCACAAGTCCACTGCTGAACATAGGCCTCCCCCAAGTAATGCCACAAAGCACGGTCCTGAGCCACCTGCATCCATCGACTTCCTGCATATCTTACCAGGTCGTCACTCCATCTAGTGGAGGGTCGCCCTACACTACGCCTACCGGTACGAGGCTGCCACTCGAGAACCTTTCTTCCCCATCGGTTATCGGTTCTTCGAGCTATATGGCCGGCCCATTGCCACTTCAGCTTACTAATCCGTTGGGCTATGTCGGTCACTCTGCTTTTACTGCGGATATCCTCATTTCTGAGTCTATCACGCAGAGAAACTCCGAGCATAGCCCTCTCCATAGCTCGCTGAGCGACCTTGAGCGTCCTCATACGGCCAGCAGTGAAGGACCACGTCTCTGATCAGTAAGTCATCACTGGCAACACGCACTGGTTGTACACTTTAGTTTTCAGAGATTGAGGTATACCTGACGAGAAGATGTGTCGTAATTTCCCGAACGCTGCCCAGCCGAGTTGAATCCGTCGATTGACCTCAAAAAAAGATCAAAACAAAGATCATATATATATATACATAAACACTCACGCCTGTCACCCAGAGGGGTAGGCAGAGACTACAGACTTCCATTTAGCACGATCCTGACATATCTCTCTCGCCTCTTCAACATTCATATACCTACGCATACATGCTCGTCGGTTAAGGCTACTCTTAATTTGGCCCATTTTTAGTATATCGCCAATTTCGTCGACAAACTTCCGCCTAGGATGTCCCTTTCCGACTCTTCCATTCACCTCTGCAACATATATTTGCTTGGCAGTCTTTCATCATTCATTTTCTACATGACCAAACCACCGAAGCATATCCTTTATTAATTTCAGCCCTAACATACTCCTTAGCAAACGCATTTCTACTGCATGTATTCTACTATTATTATTTATTATTTATTTACTTTCATTTATTCTATATGTAGATATAATGGGCGGTAGTCCGTGATACTATTTTTACCCAATTCTTATGGTTAGGAAATTTAACAGATTTTTTTTAAACTCTAAGAAAGATACCATGCGATAAACATTTTTGATAAACAGTTACAAAGTGAAATTTAATAAGGATATTTTTATGCTGTTTTAATATGACAGATGATGTGCTATCGCCTACCGTCATGTAACTAGGCTTCAAGAATGTCTCCTGCACTAGCATAACGTCTAAATTATGGTTGTGCAGGAAAAGCGCGATCTCATCCTTTTGGTTTCTGAGGCCGTTCGCGTTAACGAACGCAACAGACAGAGAGCGTGATTTTTGTCAACCTTACTGCTGTACACTGACATTATGGTATTTTAGAAAGCATTTAGATTAAGCGCACTAGAAATACCAGATTGCGTAGATGAGTCTTATATGCTTACTTTAAGGGGTGGTGGCTCCACGGAGTTTGCGGGCTAAATAAGATAATTCAGCCATGTCAATGTTGCTAATAAAGCTGCAGACTAACGAGAAGTCGGCAGCGAAGGAAGAAGAGCCCTGTAGATGACATTGACCGTAACGCGACAAGTGCCGGAGGCTTTATCCAAGCATTGGGTTTAGACTTGGAAGGCGCGGGAAAGCTAACACCTTGCACGGAGACCTCGGTGGCGGAGGCGGGCTTGGTGACGGTTTGAGGTAAGAGAGTGGGTACTAAGGATGATGGATGTTTGGGAGCAGTTAGCCAAGAGCAAGACAGGCTACTTGGCCCGCGCATCTGGGAAGACTGTTACCTCCGCGCTGTTTCATTCGTGGCAAACGGGTGTTTCGAGGTAGTTCGCTGGGTGTCCCGCTTCGCCGCAATTGTAACAGCACGGAGACTTAATGCGTGCGTCAAGGCGTGCGGGTGTCAGTAGTGCCATCTTCAGCTAGGCACCTAGCGCATCAAGGTAATTTCTGGCCAAGTGGCTCCTTGCCTTCAAGAGACAGCTCCAGAATGACAAGGCACAGGTCTAAAAAGCGTTTTTTGTTGGTCTGATGATGCATTCTGTGCACCACTCGGAGCGGGAGATTAAGGACATTATATTCGTTAAAGATTGGTTCAGTTTCAAACTCCTTGGAGAGTCCGCGGGCGGCCATACGAATGTTACGTTCCTCGGGGAGGGCCTAAGTGTGGAAGCCAATTTGTTGGGCGCACAGGTGATTAGTCACAGAGCGAAAGTCCTCAGTCTAGTCAATGAATATACGAATACTCTGGAAGGCGTCTTGAACCTTCTGGTAGTAAATCCTTTTGGCGTAATAAACATCAAAAAAAATTAAATATTAAAGTATAATATATCTATGAATTCCAAATATTTATACAATCTTCATTGATAAAATAAAATTGTTTTTCTAATTCATTAATATAATATTTAACATTATAATAAATAACTTAACTAAAATAATAATTAAAATTATAATATTTACGATTAAAACTAATTATATATACAATATAAAAGAAGAAACTATAATATAGAACACCTAAAACTAAAAATTTAAATCGTCAAAAAGACCTGCTCCCTGTGGTATAGTGCCAAGAACGCTGGCTGCGTTTCCTCGCTGAATAGC